GAGAAAATGAATGACTGGGAACGATCGTGAGCGAGAGTTGGTAACGAAATCCCTGGAAGGAAACAAATCTTCATCCCCAGCAAAGTCAGGGAACAGTGTGAAAATACCGTATTGGTTGTGCGGCCTGCAGCCAAGTAAGGACACTACCCATGATGGTACACTAGCGGCGTCATCAGTGGGAGACAAAAGTTATACAGGCGGATAAAGGAGGCATCAATCATCCAATCCTGCGAAAAAGTCAGCCGTTACAAAGGATATGAACCCTGAGCGAATTGGATGACCTTTGTTGACCCTGTCGCTCGAATCTACTCAACAAGATGCTGGTCTTCTGACCCAAAAACCGTAAACTGTTTCTGACAACCAAAGACATTCGTGACATTCAACCAGCCACTTACCTTAAAGAAGGTCTATCAGACACGGCCGAAACGTCGGTATTGGTCAGTCACCGGACCGACAACTTTCTTTTTTGCTTTGTGTAGTATTAAAATGTTTCAGGTCGTTTTTGAGGTATGACCAGTAATCCACGACAGAGATTCTCTAGCAATAATCATGCACAAATTATAAAATAATAAACGGCTGGTTTGTGTTCGGTTTGCGACACAGCGATGACATTTCATAGTTGGCAGAAATTAATGAATGGTCGTGAACTTAAATGCAATAGGTCTTTGGTAATTTCAGAAGATTCATTCTTAAGGCAAACAAATTTAGCAGTTCCTTTCATCATCTTGGTTCGTTACTTGATTTTTATGTCGGTAACCGGTGCACTTACTTCATAGTTTATTAGGATTTATATACGTAGTTATATTACTACGGTCCTGCGTTCTGATGATGATTTTTATTGATATAATCCCGCACGTCTAGCGAAGCGATCACAGACGATTCCTTTACTGCTGATTCAGATTTGGTGCCTATGCTCTCCTATGCAGATTGTTTTCTTATGTGCAGTAATCATGAGCGAGTTCTGATATCCACCATAGACCATCAGATGTCTCTTCGAAATTTATATAAAACTTTTGTTAACCATAGATGTCACATTTGCAGTAAATTAAGACTACTGACATGACATAAAATTTGATAGAACAACAACTAAATAATGCTGACGAGAAAATGAAATTCCAACACCATGATGAGTTTGTTTATGAGGACAAAAGTAAGGAAGCTAACTGATGAGCTAACAAGACTATCTCAACGATTGTAACATCATGAAATTTTGGCACAAAATTGTAAGAATGTGTCTGATTAAACAAGGCTTCAGAAAATACCACCAGATCTACTAAATTTTTCACAAAATTCACTATATTGACGTTGAAACTATTTGTTAAGCTGATGAACTCGAACTTCCCTGAGCTCCTTCAAAGCTAAATATCAGTTTCTAGTAAGTCATCTCCGTTCATTCCGCTTACACGTCGACGTCAAATGCGAACGTGACATATGCTCGAAACTTCAGAGCCTTTATGCCAGTGGTTTCATAGACGTTCAAGGTGCTGTAATTCATTTATCATTGCTTTATTCGTAACCTTTTGATCTTGGCTTAACTGCTCGGGTTTCAGTCAATAAATTATATTCAACGCTTTACAAAAAATGATATATGGCCAACAGTGGGTATTGTAAGCATATGAAAGGAATGCACTCTTTCAAAGAAAAAAATTTTAGGCAAGGAACGCAAAGAGTGACGAAGTGTGTTCACAGATTGTTCATAATGCCTTCCAGTAGCGTATTCCTCAGCGGTGACGACTCATTTTGAGCTTCGGAGATACCTATTTGAATCCCAAAAGACTGTTTTAACCGCTAATTTTTTGGAGTAAAGAATTTACTTCGTCCTCTTCGGTGCAACCAGTCTACATGCAGTTGACCTACGACCTCAAGAGCAACATAATTTTCTAGTGTGGCTACATCAGGAACGATAAAATGTACAGTCATTATGTCAGATGCGAGTGCCTCATAGACCTGCAATTAGTTTTGATCCACTTGATAGCTGACCAACGAATTTGATTATCAGTGTAATGTATAAACCAAAAGTGGTACGAGTAGCATTTTCTAGAAAGTTTTCCATTAAGTTTGTCCGTGACTAATGATATTGGGCTACAAAATTTTGGAAAGGTCACAGGCATATAATTTGGACACAATAATGTTTAACAAAGTGCCCAACAGATCACGCTGTTAGATTAGACAGATTAGTTTCATAGTAGTGCTTTCCAGGGACATGGTTCATCTTGCTGCATTCAGTTTACCACTGCTGCCTTTTTCAAACGCCGGTACGTGGTATTTACCGATCTGTAGAAAAAGAACTATGCTAGTTTATGCTGCTAATTGAGGTGTTTTGCTGATTTGACACCACAACAAATTGATTCGGTATAACTGACCGCTATCGTGTCAACAATCGCATGAGTACAGTCAAATTAATGAAGCAGTTGTTGCCCGTGAAATTGCGGAAGGCCGTCTCTGCGCATACGGTGACCAAAACGGTTGTGAATATCATTCCCAGCAAGAGACATTAGTAACGTCATGCGCTATAGCAGTTAATGCCGTAACTCTCATCAAGTCGTACAGGAAAAATGCACACTGCCTCATTTCGAATAGTTTTGGGGAATTGATTGGCTTTTCATAGTTGCTTTTTTGTGTCCTGGTTATAACAGCATTATAAACTATAAAATGCTTAAAAACGGCTTATTTTTATGCAGTAGAAGCAAATAAGTTGATCACTAGGGTGATTTGACTCCAGACGTCACAACAGTTGCGGACCATAGAAGAAACTATGGAAGTCAGGCCAGACCATCTTCAGTAAAGTTTCTTGAGAGAGGAGTAGAAACGCACGTCGATATCGTAAAATTATCCGATTGAACATCCTATTGCCATGCATTGTGTATAAGAAAATCTTTTTCTCAGTTATCAACATGAACGCCAACGCACGAAGAAATTACTCAGTACCAATATTTCTGCTTAACAGAAGAAAATGCTGCATCTTTCGAATTCAAAAAAACCGTCGCAATAGAATGGGTTATCAAGAGGCTCAGACGATCGTCGTATTTGCATCGGTAGCAACTGAGTGCACCGACCGGCCAAAACATAGAATTTCGTAATATAATACTTGTATGTATGTATGTATGTATGTATTATGTGTATGTGCGTATGTATTTTAATGTGTATGCATG